TTTATGTGGTGGATAGGCGTGAAACAGCCCAGCAGGTTTGACAATGGCACGTGCTGAACATCTGCTTACAATGTCTGCCAGCAAACTGGAAACTGCCCATCCCAAAAGAGCCCACACTTGGTACCTGTTCACTTGGGCTCTGAGTCATCCCAGGACTTGCTGTACTTTCAGATGTTGGTGATCCCAAGCTCTGAGTTGTAGGAAAAAGGCTTTCCCAATAAGCCAAGGACAAAAGAATCTAAATTCTCTGGCTGTCCCTGCTGAGAGCCCAGACATGTTTTGCTCAGCATTCTAAACTACGCTTGGCAAGGAGGAATTTGGCACTTAGGCCTGGGTACTCCAGCTGCCCAGCAGAGCCCTGTGGGTGAGTGACTGAGAGTCACTCCGTTTCTCCAGAGCATGGTTAAAAGCCCTCTTGCCAAATCCGAGCCTAAATAACACAGAAGGGCGTAGAGATGGAGAGGCAGGGCTGTCTGTCACTCCTCATGCCCTTGTCCACCCCTCTCGTGGGCCACAGTTGCCCACAGAGGTTGAGCCTGGGGCACAGCGGGGTTGTCTCGTTTCAGAAACACTGCGACAGGCAGAAGGCAAACCTGAGGATCCGCTTCAAGCCCTCACTCTTCCAGCATGTGGGAACTCATTCCTCCTTGGCTGGGAAGATACAGAAGCTGAAGGTGGGTACCAGCTGCCTGTCCAAGCTGCAGGTGGCCTGTCCTGCAGGCACCTGGGAACTGGCTGCTTTTGGGTGGGGACATCGGTGACAGCAGCTGGTGGGACGGTGGCAGCTGGATTTCTGTGCAGTGATTGTGTTTTATTCCGAGTTACAGTGAGCTCAGATAGCTCCTGCTCCTCAGAATGGCAGTGACATGCACCAAGAGTCACTGCAAGTTCTTAAGCCTTGGTACAGGTCCTGGCCACCCCATCCTAAGTACCAAACTGGGCATATACTTCAAAGCATCTACTGAAAAGCCCTGGAGAGATGACTCCTGGATTGGTCTGACTTCCTTTCCACCCCACTCCACATTCCCAGGATTTGGTGATAGGTGAACTAGAGCTCGCTATATAAGAGCTTAAATTGTTGGTGTGCATTTAATCATCAACAAAATAAAGCTTCTCATAAATACATGTTCAGGACCCATAGACACATATCCCTGGGCTGTGCTCATCCCGTGTCTGTGTGATCCCCAGGGAAATGGGTGGTGTAATCCAGTTTGTATCACAGTTCAGTGCCCGTCAGGCTGTGTAATCCAGTCACTTTTATGCTATTGTTGCTCTCCCAGCCGCCTTCTCCTCGGGTGTAAGGACTGTTTCCAGAGCTCCTGGGGCAGGGACATGCATTCAGGGATACTTGGACAATGAAAAGCTCTCTGGTGCTGGATCAGAGTGCAGAGCAGAAGTGTTTCTCTGTGTTGCCTCTCCTGAAACTCTGTTCTGGCATCCAGTCACACATTCCCCTGCCTGGTGCCTTCCCCAGATCGCTTCCATCCCTCATCCTTCTGTGCTGTGCAAATGGAGAGCTTTGAATTTGCTGAGACCTGAGTTCCTCACGGGCAAGAGCAGCTCATGGCCCTCCTCTGCCCTTTTGCTTTGTGCCCCCCAAGGACAAGGACTTTGGCAAGCAGGCGCTGCGGAAAGAGCACGTCAACCCTCCTGCCGAGGTGAGCACCAGCCTGAAAACCTACCAGCACTTCACCCTGGAGAAGGCTTACCAGCGGGAGGACTTCTTCTGGGCCTTCACTCCCACCGCCGGAGACTTCATCAGATTCCGCTTCTTCAAACCGCTCCGGATCGAAAGGCCAGTGCCTGGGTGGGGCCAGCAGGGGGGCGTGGGGACAGCCTGGAGCGTGCAGAGACACCTGCATTTTTGCTCTTCTGGCAATTTAAATGACATTTCTTGCCCATCTCCTGCTTGGCTGCCCCTTGCTGAGTGTGGGTTTGCGTGGCTTTGGTCTCTGTCGCAGGTTCTTCTTCCGCAGCGGGAACATCGAGCACCCAGAAGACAAACTCTTCAACACGACCGTGGAGGTTCTGCCGTTTGACGTAAGTGTTTTATTGGGAACTGAGGTGAGGGTGGAGTGGGAAGCAAAAGGGGGTTGAGAGAAGGGAGCTGCTTTAAGCCACCAGGAAAATCTTAACAAGACTCAAGTGCCTCTGAGAGGTGCTGGCTGGGAGCCAGAGGGTCGCACCCGCTGTGATGCCACCTCAGGAGTGCAGTGCTGTGCTGAGCATTGCTGTGGAAGCATTTCCTGCCTGCAGAGGGGATGCTCAGATGGGTGGGATGGCTGCAGAGGAGGGGACAGAGCCAGGATGGTGCAGTGGAAGCAGCAGCCTGAGGACAGCAAATGCCCTCATGTTTTGGGGCAAGAGCCTCAGGGTGCCAGGCAGGGAATGAGGTGGCAGGGCCTGCTGGCGTGGGCAGCTCCAGGGTTGCTGCTGTTCCTTGGGGCTTTTGGATGGCTCTTGCCATTGGCCTTGCACAAAACTCCTCTCCTTCTGCAGAGCCTGCAGTCAGATAAGGAAGCTTTGCAGGAGGGAAGAGGCGCAGTCGTCAAATACCGCAGGACACCGGATGGCTACATCCAGATAGGTACAGTGGGGCACGGGGTGGCCTGCTGGGTTTGATAACACATCCTCACCTGCATGTGAATCGAGACCCTTAGTGCTGTTTGCTTGGCAAAGAGTCATTTCTGCTTGCCAGGAGCAAGGTTGGAACAGGATTTAATTATCGTAGTCTCCTTTGCTCCACTGCCCTCCCTCTTAGACCAGGTTGTCCTCTTCAGGTAGTTTTTGGTCCTGCATTTCTGCCTGTCTCTGCTCAGAGCTGGGACCAAATTATGCAGATTATCCAGTTGCTTAACCTGGGGTTAAAATCCTCCACCGTGGGTGATTTTGTGGTCTCAGTCCTCACACCATTTGCAGGTCGGACTTTGTCTCTTGCCACCTGAGCTTGTTTTAGTGTTTGTCCTGTCCTTGGACAAGAATGAGCGATTGCAGCCTATGGGGACCTGCTGCTGTGGGGTTCAGCCCCGGTGTCCCTCCTAAGATACTTTGGGTTTTTTTTCCTAAATAAATAAATAAAAGAAAAAAATTCCCTGGGACATGTAGCACTTTGCCACCTTTTTTGTTTTGTTCAGCTGATTTTTCTTCCCCAAAGTGTGGCATTTTGCAGTGTTTGGCCACCCACGCTGCTGGTTTTCAGCCCATCTCACCTTGGGGAGCTGTGGGCAGGGCCTGCCATGGTGGCCTGTGGTGCCCTCAGGGAGGGGGGAATGTGGAGGGGCAACGCCAGGGGACTGTCCCTGTGTTACCCATGTGCTCTCCCCACCAGGCTCGTTCTCCAAGGGTGTTGCAGAGGGCGAGGTGGACCCGTCCTTCGGGCCGCTGGAGGCCATCAGGCTGTCCATCCAGAGCGACTCCCCGGTGTGGATCATCCTGAGCGAGGTAGGCCAGGCTCCCCCGGCAGGACCCCACCGCGGCCCTGCACGTCGCTCTCATCCCACCCCTCTCTTCTTTCAGATTTTTATCAAAAAAGCAGAGTGAAACGGGCACGAGGCAGAACGGACACACCGGTGGATCCCTGGTCCTGCTCCCTCCCTCCCGCTCCCTCCTCCCCGCGGCGCCTTGCCCGGACAAGGACAGCGCAGGGCCGGCTGCCGGAGGCGGCACACACCGACAGACCGCGGCAAACCTGCTACCGGGCTGGCACCACCATCCCTAGCGGTGCTGCAGGGCCAGGACGCCCCGTCATCTTCTCCAGAAGAGGAACAAAAAAGCAAAACCCAACAGCCCGTGCAGAGGGCTGGCTTTGCTCGGCTCCCTCGGCCCCTCGGGATGCTGGCTGCCGCTCGGGACACACGGACACAGGGGGCAGTTTGGGGTCGGGACAAGCTTTAGTGAGCGTGGGGACAAAAAGCACCTTCAGCCCAGGACAGGGCGATCTCTGGCTGTGTTTGGGGACAGAGCGGGGCTTGGTCACGGTGAGTCCTGCAGGCTGACCCCGTCGGCTCTGGGATGGAGGCGGCCAGGGACCGAGGTCTGCCCTGCCCTCGCCCAGGCAACAGTCCTGGCCACAGCTGAGGATTAAGCGAGGGCAAAGACTGACCCTCCTTCAGCAGAGGAGGAATGAATCCGAAGGGGTTGGAGCTATGAGTATGGCAGGGAAAACAAAAAAAATAAAATACGCCACACTGTGCCTGCCAGCATCGATCACAGCCCCTTAACTCACGGTGAAGTCTCCAGTGTCTTCATGCCTTGAGATTGAGTGCAGAAACCATCTTTTTTAAATAACTATTTCAGTTATTTGTTGATGTGAGGTTTTTTGGGGGGGTAAAAAAAAAAAAAAAGCAGAAGTAGCCCAGTTCAAAAATAGTAGGGATTAGTGTAAATCCCAATGTCCTTTCAGCTATACACTGGAATGCATTATACTACTTTAATGTGCTGTATTTTTTATTATTGGATACATTTGATTTTTCAAGTACATCTCTCTCTATAAATATATAAGATAATGTGCACTGTAATAAAAGCTAAATTTAAACCTTTGGTGCAGCAGTGAGAGTCACTTGAAGCAGGGCTGCTCTAGTCACCCCCAAGTCAACCCCAAGTTCGCAGTGGAAAGTGAAATCCAGAGAGCACAAAGTCCTACTGGGGGGTAGGTGATAAATGAAGTCAGGGCCAAGCCAAGGTCATTAAGTCAGTGCCAAAACCAGACCTCAGCACTAGAGTCAGGCTTTTCTGCCAATATTTGGGTATGGTTTTAGACAAGTTTTCCCATCCTTTCCAGTTAATTTTAATCACAGCAGCTTTTCCTATGAAGCCCAGTCCCCAGCCCTCAGATGTTCTCACACCAGTTCCCAAGCGCGTTTGACGATCACAGGTGATTTCTGCTGAGAACAGCAATTTATTTTTGTGCATCCATGATGTGATCCTTCCAACACAGATCATTACAGCAGTAAGGAGGACAGACAACAGCACGGGGGTCAATCTGTGCTCCGCGAGGCAGAGCCAAAGGCATTTTAGAGCAGACAGTGCTACAAAACCCAGCAGTGAAGCAGGGGCTGGGGAGCATTTGCTTCCTGTGATCTCTGAAGAGCAGAGGAGTGCCAGCATCAGCCTCCCTTCAGAAAGGAACACAGAGCCAGGGAGGTATTCACTCTGACTGTGCCAGCTGAGGGTAAACAGTGGGTTTTGGGAGAGCCACGACCCCTTTCACTGGGCACCGTGTTGCTGGAGGGGCTGTGCCAGTGCTGCCATCCTTGTGAAGGAATGGGGCTGCAGGAAGTGTGCCAGGAGCCCAGCTATTGCCAGCCCCAGCAGCAGCCAGAGCAGCCAGGCACTGGCGTACAGTGGTCCCAAGCTGGGCAGGAGAAAACACCCAGGTCAGACACCGCCAGCCCATCTGGGACACAAAGTGTGCCCACAGGGCTTGGCATCCCCACCCTCCTTTGAGACAGTCAGGGAAGAGGTGACACAGCCACGAGCACGTGGGGCAGGAGAAGGAGGTGACACAAATCTGCCTGCAGTCCCACCCGTGGGAAGGAAACCTGCTGCAGGGGCCACGTCCTGCCCCCAGCCCCCCTGGGCTGGTGTGGGGTGCTCACAGCCTGGGCTGGGTACTCACCGTCCCTGCGCAGCCACGGCGTATCCCTGGAAGTACTTGAGGCGGGTGTAGAGGTACAGCAGCCCAAATGCTGCAGTCACTCCTGTGGGGGAGAGAGGAGTCGAGTTCTGACAGGGTCAGGGGTCCCTGGACACTGCCAGGGCTGCATTCCAGCACAGGCACCCACAGCCCTGCTTCCCATCACAGATGGGGCATGGCCACGAGAGCCAAATGCAAGAGGGACTAAGTTGAATCACTGTGGGAGTTCAAATGGGGTTTCTTCCTTCCCTTCTTGTGAGGGATGAACTTCTCTGCCCCCCAGAGTTGGACTTGGGTTGGCAACGCTCCCTTCCATGGTCCTTCCTTGCAACTCCCCTGTGGCAGCAACCAAGCCCCTGAACTCACTTGGTACAGCATAGACAGTGGATGAGTAACTGTTTGGGTTATGGTTTCTCGTCCTGACATAGAAATTCGGGTATCATGTGGGAGCTTTGCCTCAGATTGCTGCCCCCCTGGCACTCTGGGACAGCCTGACCTTATCGAAGAGAAGCAGCATAGTGGGACAGCCAGGCTCTGGCAAAGCAGCAAGGGCTGCCAGTGCCTGCTCCACCAGACAGGAGACAGGCTCAACAGCTCCCAGCAGCTTCATGGATGCTGGAGTTGAGGTGCTCCTTGATCCATCTGGTTAAAGAGGAACTTTGCTTTCCCCAAACAGCGGCCTCACAGGTACAGAGAGAAAGTGTCTGAGTTGCAACGAGATTTAAACTGAGGCGGCTTTTTTGGTTTGTGCACGTGGCTTAGGGTTTCCCCCCACGCCTCTTACCTTGATGGAAGAAGATTCCAGCAACCCAGAGGAGCGAAACGAAGATTGGGAAGTACTCTGAGCAGTTTGCCCTGGTGAGAACAAGAGAAGAGAGTTAAAACTGCCTCATATGTTGGAGCCTGGTTAACCAAGGCCAGAGAAGGGAACTGGAAACACACATCAGAGCAAACCAAAACCCTGGAATGACGAGCCATGGCTAAAGTGGAGATTTGTCTCTGCTGGACCCCCGACAGGCTCTATCCTGTCCCCACACACAGCACTGCCAGAGAGCTGCTGCACCTACAGCTGCTGGGGGAGAGGCTCCTCGTCAGTATTGAAGGAGAGTTCTCTTCCCCTTGGACACCCAAATTTGCATGTCACACAAATCACAGTCCAAGAAAGCTTTCTCTCAGAAAAAATTCAGCAGAAAGTGATCAGATCTGCAGCCAGGTTTTCTTCTTCCTTTTTCCCTTAGTGGCAAAAATAGAGATTTTTTGCAAGAAAGGACGGTGGGAGCTGTGCTATTAAAGACATTGGTTGTGTTTCTCAGTTTCTCCTACACTTTACCATTCCCTAGGCAAATTAATCTTAATTTTGGCCAAAACTTTACCAACTCATGGGGAATGGAGCCAAACTGGGAGCTGGAATAAGTCTGAAGAACCTTATGCTGCAAATAGAGCTTGAGCCTCGGTGAGGGAAGGTTGCCAGGTTTCCTCAAGTGAGTAATGCATCAATACCATTTTTCCTTTTTTTTTTAATATATATGTATATATCAAATTATCCATTTGAACGCTTTTCCACAGGGAAAAATAGGGGGGAAAACCCACAAAGAGGCAACACGTTTTCAAGTCTGAGTTCCCTGAGGTGACCTTCTCTGCAGACCATAGCAGAGGGCTTCCCAGCACACCACGGCCCGTGGCACGACTCGGTTAACACACATTTAACAGTAAAGTATTTAATTAAAAAGCCTCATCAGCAGAGTGAGGCTGATGCCTCCGTGCAGGCTGGCCTTCCATGGCACCACAGAAGGACTGAAGGGGGTGTTTTTGTCACACCATAAATGTTTCCTGCACACTGGCAAGGGAATGCAGCTGCTTTGTTCAGCATTTAGCGCCGTGCTGGAACCACCCTTCAAACCAGCCCCGGCCAATTCCTTTCAATGGCTTTACAAAACAGGATGACTGAGATGAAAGACGGAATCTGGTGCTTGCTGGAAGCCGAGGGGCTCTGTGAACGCTTCCAGTTTAGCTCCAGCGTTGCTCTCTCCATAGGAACAGAGCAAAAAGAAACAGCCCTCAGCATGGGCCCACGAGTGCTGACTCTCACAGCACAATGGCTCCTGAGAGGGAAAAAATTAAAACACCCTCGTAGCTGGTTCTTCCAGCAAGGCTCCAATTCAACGGCAAAAACTTCCAGGCAAATGTCAGGTTATTAATATATCTTCAGCTGCTCTCACGATTTGGTGCCAGTGGTAGCATTAAATTTAATGATTCTGAGCATTAATGCTCCACACCCCTTTCATACGGCCACGAATTTGTAATTTGGCCGCCTCAAGGTGCCAGAAGGAGGATTATCATGGATGGACAGAAACACCCCAGCCAAAGGGCTCCAAATCAGAACTCCAATCTCTGCACCCAGAGCACTGAAAAAAAAAAAAATCTAATATCAGTAGCAATAAGTGAAAAGGAGACTTGAGTGTGACCAGTCTCTCGTGACAGTGACAGTTGACTCAAGTCATATCTAGACAAAGTCATCACAACAAAGCCAAAATCTTACTGAGCTCTGAAGATCCGCTCAAACTCAGGGTGACCTGCTGTCTCAGGAGGGGAGATCTTGTACTTCCGACGGGCATAGATCACCTGCAGTGCAAAATAGGCTGAAAACAGAACAACACAGCAATGAGAAGAGCCCAGCAGTGTTTGTTTAGCAAGGCTTTATCTAGCTTGGAGTCAAGCAAGTGGTTAGAACAAAGGAGCCGATATGGTCTGGGTCCAACATCCAGGGCTGTCACACATGACCTGGTATAAATGCACATTTGTTTCATTTTTAAATGTTTTTTTCATGTTCACATTTTTAAACTCAGGTTCGGTTGTCCTGGCACAGCACTGGTGCTGGATGGCACTTTGCATTGTCTCACGCCCTTGGTGCTGCTCCCCAGCAGAACAAACACACCAGGGCCTGCAAAGAACAATAAAACCTCCCCAAGTCCATTCCCATCACAAAGTTATTTCTTTATCTTGCATTTTGTGTTTAGAGTATCCATACACCCTCAGCCAGTCTGACAGGAATGATGGACAACATTTTCCACTATTCCTAGCGGGTGCAAAGCTTTTACACAAGGATGGTCCACGTCACAGAGCAGCATCCAAGCTGTCAGGCACTGGGACACCATTAAGTCAGTTAGAGGTGTTCATAACCATGGCAACAAAAGGAAATGGGGAAAGGGGTGATGATTTTTTCCCCTTCCTTCCTGCAGGGGAGCCCCAAGGCTCCAGCAGTTCAAGAAGCAGAAGTGCTGCCAATACCTGCTCTGAGCCCATGCCGGGTTTGGGCTGAGGCACTGGCTTGGTGTCTGCTACACCAGTTCTTTGTACATCTGTAAAGGACATGGAAAGTCACTTTAAAACAATGAAAACATGAAGATTTGGACTGTTTATTGAAAGTTCTTACTCCCATAGGTGATTGCTGATGCTTCAAGTGTTTTTTATTTAGGTGCACCACTACACTGATTTTATTGAAAACTCCTGATTTCATAAAGGAGAAAATTAAATCATAAAAACAATTACTTTGGTGGCTGTGGTAGTGTCACTGAGACACTTGGATAGCAGATAGCAACTCACATAGCAACATTTCCAGGGCATCACACAGAGAGACAAGGAGCCAGAGTGGAAGGCCTGTCTTGTGGACTGTCTTGCTGTAACAAAGATAAAAGCAAAACAGCAGGATAGAGCAGGGGAAGTAGGGACAGATGTTCCAAGATTAAAGACAAGATGTGTGCCTGCAGAAAAGCATTAGAACATATGTAGAAGGGAATTAGAAATGTAAATAATCTGATGCTATGTGACTTGTGTATCACAACACTTTAGTAATTTCAGTATGCAGACATTCCTCAAAGAACACACTTTAAAACCATTAAGCATGTTCTAGTGTCTTCCACAGTGATCCAGCCCTAAATGAGAGGTGCTGACAGAGAAGGGAGGAGAGATTCTTCCTTTTGGGAAGAATCAGTCCCCAAAAGCAGTTCTCAGAATGATGTGTTCATAAAGCCCACCCTGCATGAGCCTTCTCAGCATGGACTTTGGGCGAAAAAGAGTTCAACCTACCCTGCAGAACCTTTCAAACCATTTTTTTTTGTGATTAATGTCTCGAAGTTAATCACCTGTGTGGATTCCCATGTGGCATGCAGGGACCGAGCTCTCCCTGAACTTTGCTCCTCAGTGGAAATATTCTTCCTTCTCTATTTGATTATGTCCACACACTTGTCAAACCATATCATAGCTGTTATCTGCCACATTTGAGTGAACATGGCAAACAAGCCCTGTGGGGCCTGACAGACAGTGACATTGCATAATCTTCCTTTCCTTTGAAGCCATAAAATAAAGGAGGGTGGGGGGAACCTGGGGTAGAGTAATTCTGCTGTGTGGTCCTGTGTTCACCACAGGGCTGGGGCACATTTCTGAGCTCAGAGCTTCACTCAACTGAGCATGAAACTGCGGGCTCCCAGAAAATTCTAAGGAAAAAATAACAAATCAACCAACCAAGCTCAGCCATTAAACTGCATCTCCTCCACCAGGATGTGATGGAGGAATATTCGTAGGTATAGCCCCTGTCTGTGCTTCAGTGCTCACCTGCTCAGAATAATCCCAGATCTGTAACTCACCTACAGAATGTCCCCCCAAAATACGCAAGGAAAGCCACAGCACAGCTCTGACTCACAGTGACACGAGCAACACGTACTTCATATCAGCAGATAGAAGGAAAACACGTAGTATTTTGCCACTGCTCCTTGGCTTCCCATGCAGGGACCATAAAACCAGGATGCTTTATCCAATCTAACACAGACAGGAGGGTGGCAGTGCTCGCTGTTTACCTGCTGGCTTCACAAACGGGTAGGGTTTGCATAGCATGAAAGTAAAACGCCCAAGGCTTCAACCTTTAAAAAAGATACCTGAAGTTCCCATAAAAGAGATAAATTTCAGACAAAACTGCTATCTAGGGACTTGCTACTGAGGGGTGCCCAAAGGAAAAGGGCGTAGCAGCATTTCTGTAACTCAATTTGAAGTTTTCTCCATGTCTTCTCTTTGCATACTAAATGCTACCTCACTCCCACTTAGTTTAACAACAAAAAAATTCAGAATACAGAAGCATCTTCCATTTGTAGCTGCAGATATTTCCCTTTAAACTGAGTGGAAATTACTGATAATTCAGAAATCTTGAACTCTGTTCTTCAAGTGGCATATTTGTGTTTTAAATAATGCTTACACTAAGAGATTTATCATCTGATGGCTAAAAATACATCAGGCTGCTCAGTGATTCACATCCATTTGTAAGCAGAGGTGTGATAGCTCTATGGTGAATTAATTCAGAAATAATAAATCCCACAGACAAACCTTCCCTTATAGAAATGTGAAGATTTTAATACAATGGGGGCTCTATCCGCACCTCAGGTAGGGGAATATCCCCTTCCATGACCCTCCTGAAGCCCAAGGGGGACAGACTTTGCCCAAAGGACCCACAATTAAAGAGAGCTTGGCAACAACACCGCTCTAAAAGGTGTAAACGCATCTGTTTATACTACAAGAAGTCAGTGAGCTCCTTTGAAGACGTCTGTGCCTATTTCTGACCAGAAGGGCTCGCATTAGCTTCCAAATTACTGTGCTGTCTGGTCATCTGCTCTGTGCAGTTAAGCTGCAAGGACACATAATGATACTGGTCACAGTGGGGAAATGCCTGTGTGCACGAGGCTCTTTTCTCTGTACATCCCATGTCTGAACACTGGCCTCTCCATCAGCACACTTACTGACCTGCCTTCATTTTGGCTACCTCCAGCCACTCCAAGTTATATATTGCCTGCTAAAATTCAGGCACAAACTATTTTAGAACATTCTGTTGAAATCAAGTCTAACAGATTTACCTGCTGGCTTTGAGGGTTGCAGATCGTTCTAGCCCCTATTAAATAACGACCACCCTCAGGCACTGACACTTCTGCCACGAAGGGCCAAACATTTGTACCATTTTAACATGTGGGAAAACAGCAGCTTTCACTCCACAGAGACTCCAAGCAAAACATAGGAACCGTGTTCCTCAAAGTTTGACATAACTAGCTCAACACTACCAAGCACTGTATAAAAGGCAATTTACCTTGTTCCAGGACTCCCAAAACCGTGACCGTGGCCAGCAGGTCTATCTGATCCCTCATGGTGCTGCCTGGAGCAAACCCCAGCCAGGTGTGATGGGTAGAACTGCACCCCAAACCCCTCTCCCACCCTCCCAACACCACACACTTCAACAGAACTGAGTTATTCCCCGGACACAGGTGTTTCCTCTACCACACCTTAACTCACCTTAACTCCCTCCACACCACAGGGTTTTCCAAAGCAGGCAGCCACCAGAAAATGTCTATTCCAGCCAAGTGGCCTTTGCTGAATGATGGAACAGCAAAAAGCTTTGCACGGGAAAACTGTGAAATTCTTGTAATTATATTTGCAGATTTTACACAATGACTGGATTATACGTTGCCAGCAAGGGAAAGATGATGGAATTCTTTCCAGCCCTTTTGTTGCTGGTTTTAATGAGCTCTGAAGCATCTCAATTATGTGAGAGGTCGTAAAAATTATTAACAAGCACTTGCAAATTAATGACTTGACCTTCTGTTCTTACTCCAAGCAGTGGAGTTGACCACGTTGAAGGTTTGCTGCACTCCAGCTGGAATAAGTTAATTCTGCTGCTGGGTTCTGTAACTTTAAAAAGAGCATTCAGGTATTTTCTCCTACTGATTACTGTTCTAGGGTTACCAATAAGAATAAAGTTCTTTTCTAGCACGCACTCACCTTTTGCAGTTTTCCTATGTTTTTAAGGTTCTGCAGTTCAAATCTTTTCCTGGCTATCATACAAAATAAAAGTTCTCAGTTCCAAATGGAAGGCAGCAGAGGATGTCGAAACAGACCCTCAAAAACATTACACTGACATCAGAACTGTAAAATGTAAAATTTGAAAAGCAGCAGTATTTTAGCCCTGAGTACCTTCTTTCCCCGAAAGTACCTTCTTTACTCCACGAAAGTAAAATATGTATCAGTTCAAAACATTATCCTGTGTTTTTGAGTAATTTCATATGGATGGCTTTAAAACTTGTACAATCAAAAAGGAGAAAAAAAAAGGGTATTATTCATTATCAAGTAAGGCTTTCTGTTAATTTTGGTGAAAAGGCACAGGACATGGCTGAGCCACTGCATTGGTCTCTGTTCAGTCACAAACACAAACCCTCAGTACAGAATTTGTGCACATACCAGACCTACAGTTTCTCTGGGGTGGGACAAAGCAAGTTTTTCGCTCTGGTTTGACTCTTCATCGCCCTAAAACCCCATTGTGACAGCTCATCAAGTTGAAAACTTGTTAATGAATTCAAATATCCAATGTTACACTTTTTGTGAATAACCACACATGTAAAAAAGCAAAACCATTCCCTTTCTCTATAAAACACTCACATATATAGAGAAACAAAACATCACATAAGATGTGGCTTCAAAACCTTCAAGGTACCACGAGACTCAGATTGAAATAGAAAAAAACCAATTAACCTTAAATGAACCTACTGGTGACCCAAGATTTCATCTGGGGTGCCCAGGATAAATTCAGAGGGGAAATGTTACCAGGAGTTCTGTTTCTGCTTATGCCATTTCAACAAGCAATTCAGGCCTGAGAAAACACTTCCATTACAGAATTATTACATTAGTCTCAGGAAAAACACCAGCATCAAGGAAAAAACATCAAATGGCTGAGTTGGTCACAAGCTGTCACTCACTCCTTGAAATATTTGGAAAAACACACATGTCACTTCAGTGGGGATTGCTTGGGATATTCCTGGTTTACTCAACAATAACTGAAATGCAGCATTTTTAATGGGACAATAAAGTTAATTAAGTAGTAACTTTACAAATCCCCACAGGCTGAAATCAGCTGATCCTGGGTTACTTATTATAACATTTGGTTCTTTATAAGCTTATGAAGTTACGGGTCTCCTCCTCCCTCCAACATAACACAAAACTTTGTGGAGTAGGAATACACTAAAAATACCCTCTGGTAAGTCAGGGTGCTGTGAGGGAACCTGAAGGCTCCGAGCTGGGGCTGCGAACACAACACGAGGACGGTTAAGACCCCAACTTCAATACCTGGAGAATGATCCTTCAACTCTGAAGCTGTGCAGTGGCTCAGGGACTTTTCCAGCTTTAAGCCAAAATCTTCACACACGTTTCTGCCAGTATTTCATTCCTCGTTCAGAAACAGCCACTCATGCCTGCAGACTGTGTGGATTTTTGTCTCAGCTGGGTTTTTGCGCGTTGCCATCTGCCTGCATCAAACAAGGCTCGAGGAAACCAGTTTGAACCTCCAAGGGCTGTTATTTTGAGGGAACTGGCATATTTTTGGAACTCTACCATTTTGCACATGTGAGGTCTCTCGGGGAGTTATTACCATCTTTTTCACTGGCAACAACCACCTCTGCGGCCGAATTTCCCAGCTTAAGGTCTACAACTGCATTCCAAAAAAAAAAAAAAAGGGAAAAAAAGGGAAAAAAAAAAATAGCCCGGAAGCAGTGGGTGCAGCACAAAGCCTCATTTGCAAAGTAAAGTTTTCTAAGGCCCCTTTATCCAGTTCTGGCCTGTTTAAATGGGCTTTCTGAAACTCCAAGAATTGGTAAGACACAGCAGCAGAATTTGAGCCTTAGCACAAGGCTGAGCAAAACTGTGTGTTGGGATGAAGGGAAGGAACCATCTCACTAGGAATGACAACGCTGAACTCTGCTCGGCTCACACAAATGTATAGTCACACCATGTATGTTTAATACACTAGCAAAATATTTATTTTATAATGATAAAACAGAAGTGAAGGATTTCTTTTTGGTGTGCACCAGTAATTGCAGTAAAAGAATAAGGGGATTAATGGACTCTTTATACATTTCAATGACAAAAATTCATAAAGGTTAGCATCAAATTCAACTGTTCTCCATTTACAAGCATAAAACTTACCATAATACCCCCCAAAACACATATATAAAGAATTATAGTTTTAAAATCTATAAAAAGTAAAAAATATACAGTCAGAAGATCTAACTCTTATTCAAATCTTTAATATAAAATTGTAAACATTTATTTACACAAAGGAAATGTGTATAACAAAATTTTGAGCACCCTTTTCAATCGAATGGTGGTTTTTGGAAGGCAGTGGATGTTGCACAGTGACACTCTCACCTTGCCTGCCCAACCAACACCGCAGTTTATAAATAAAGCCATGGGCGGCCGGCTGGGTTCGGTTCAGGGGAGACGCATTTTATTGCTCTGAAGCTGCAGCAAATGGAGAGCCCGAGTGCATTGAGAGACTTGTTACAGGGCATGAGGGCAGAGCCCAGCCCTTCCCATGCACCTGTGCACATCAAAACCGTGTTTTCATTTCCATTGAACTGTTCCAACCTCGTTCCAGTGGCACCGCACTCCCAACGGTCCGACCGCGTTGCGTGGACAGGACCCAGGCCAGAAGCCAGGGCTGTTTGGATCCCGTTCACACATGGAGACCAATGGGCATTATAAGCCAGTTTTCCTCGAATCACACTTAATTTTACTCCAACAGTACCATGAAAAGGCCCTGTCATCAAATCCAGACACCTTCCTGAACAAACCCTCTGGTCAAGCAGGGCAATATCCACCTTAGCTTCCAGAAACAGTGGAGGAAAAGAGCACATCTGCATTTTCCTGGACATACAGCTGGATTGCCTTTTTGGTAGTAATAATGCAAACAGCAGATGTTCTTTTCCTCCAATTAAGAAATCACAACTGGATGGATTGTATTTTGACTTATTCAGAACAAAGCTCGTGTGCAAAATCTACCAGAAAACAGAGCAGATTTCACCACAACCTTAACAGGGAAGGAAGAAAAGCTGAATCCTACTACCCTGTTATTTCTGTCAAGTGTTTGTAAGGGGGAGAGAAAACTAGTGACACTGAAGGATGTCACTTGAAACTGAGGTCCCAAGCACCCCCGACAGGAAGGGAAGGCACACTGGTGCAAAGTTAACCCTTAAAAATAAAAATACAGCAAACGCTCCTTCCCCTGCCATTGCTAGTTTATATCTATAATCTTCTAATGACACTTACCTTGGACCAGGTTTTGGTTTAACTTCAAAGTAAACCAAGCTCACAAGCTCTTCTCTTAGATTGCCAGAATAAGAAGAGTTAGCATCATATATTTGCATCTCAAATACTTATTCTAGAAAATATCAGAAGTGTCAACAGGCAAAGTCACCAACACCTCTGTCTTCCCATCCGAAGAGAACCTTAATGTTACCTTTTCAAAAGCTCTAGGAGGGATTAAGCCTGCTTCAGGGAAGTTTTATCCACTCTTGAAGGGTGGGATCCACTGATCAATGCACATCTTTCACCAACAGTTCAACATGATACAACAGCAAATCTGATCAACAGAGCAGAATTCATCCACACTAGGTAAGTGTGCTGCACAAACCATGTTCCATGCATATTTGGAAAGGGTTAAAGTATTAGTGTTAAAAAAAGCAGTTTTTAAAAGTGCAAATTGTCTCATAAAGGAGCTGCAGATACAGTAAAACATTTTCCTTCTTTGAAACCAATGATATCTTTCACTTCCCTTCACACCCTCTGGAAAAAACTCTCTCTCACAAAACTCTGCAGTGCAGAAAACTCCTGAAGAAGCCAGTCTGTGCTGAAGGAAATTGCTTGAAAATCACAACGCTGGGTTTGGTTAGAAAGTTTAAAGGAGCTTTCCAAGAAAGTAGATTTAGAAAGGGAAGAGGTATTTGTGCATTTAAAACAAAAGCTTTCAACTTTATTTTCATTTTAAAATAAAGGTTAAGGCAAGGTGGTTTGTTGGTGGATAAGGGATTTTTTGGTAGAGAGTAAGGACTTTGGAACACTGACTGTTCCCACTGTGTTTTGTCCTTTCTGGGACCAATCCCAACATATGGATAAGAGGTCTCCTTGGGCTAAGCTGAAGAACCAGCCTCTGCTTCAAGGGATATTAAAGAAGTAAATCCACCAGACTATAGAAAGATTATCAAACTCGTAACCCAGTATTAAAAAAACCAGAGTATTTAAAGGGGGAGACTTCCATATTGGAGCAACCCTGATACAAGTATTCTCCCAGGCTGCCTGTGCTATTATTGCTCGTAAGGACTTT